GGTATACCGTATTCCGCTATAAAAGAAGGTACTAAAAACTGAATTTTAAAAATTTTTTTTAGATTTGGTAATCGTTGTGAGTAGCAAAGTTTTTGTAAAAATCTTAATGTGCACAACCTGGCTTTTTTCCTACTCTTTCTTTTCACCTTTTTTCAAATTATCTACAATTGTAGCATAAATTGCGAATTTCATCAGCATAAACACGGCATTTGTAAAGCTTTTTGCAAGTTTCACAAAACAAGATTTTTATATTATAGTCAAGACTGTCAGCAATTACGTCAGTAGCTTTTTTTGCTGCCAAAGATGCAGAGACTCCTCCAACAACTCCGCCCAAAGGTCCACCGACTATTGTGCCAACCCTGGACACAGTGTTGTCCCCACCGCCGCTCCTAAACCACTCTATGAAACAGCAGTACGTTTGTAACCAAGCAGTACCTGCAGATGTTCCACCAAATCCACCACTCTAACCACCAGCGATACTTACTCCTGTGCTCACAGCATTTCTTGATGAACCATGCTCAATGTCTTTCTTTAAATTTACTCCAAACGTGACAACATCCAGTACAGCTCCACCAGCCACGCCTACATGTTTGACATATTAAAAACTTTTTCCGACTTCTTTTACAAATTCCTTTGTAGAAAAGCTAAATAAAGTTCAGAAAGTCAGTTTACTTCTTGCATTCAAAGTAATTTTATTGATATTGTCTACCACATTGACACTACAATTCGGAACAACCGTAATTTTATACCCGCAAGTTGCTGTGTACACTCCACCAAGAGCTGGAATTTCGTCTTGTTTTGGAGGCGATTTCAGTCTGGAAACACTAAAAGGAGCACACGTCAATAACTGGATAAAAGTGTAATTCATTAAAAAACTTTTTGCTCCACTGAGAATAATATATAGTTTCTAACAAAAGAAATATATAATTATATTTTTGATAAATGTTCAGAACTTTGCAAGCGCAAAAAAGCCGAGACTGTGCTGTAAGTTTATTGACCCAAGCTTCTTGACACCTTTTTACATTTGACATCCTAAAATTTTTTCGGGCTTTGCTCAGTGGCGTTTATGTCAGAATACAGAAGGCCAGTGAGGGTATGGCAAAGCAGACAATATCACTTATTCAATGACCTGCGGAAATTTAAAGTCATCGGCAAATTTTGACTAATTCCACGATGTCAAGCAAAAGAAATATGCAAATTGAAGTTTGAATGCACTCTATAATTTATAATTTGGTAAGCAGTTTCATGCTCTCTATCTTAGCAAAATCAAATGTCCTTTATAAAAAACTACGTAATTTGACACTTGAAAATAAGAAAGGTATTATGATTAATAGTTTTTAACTACACTTGATCTATTATTCTCCTGCCAAAACAAAGACCTTCAAAAAGTTTCGTTCTTGCGTAGCGCAAAAGATTGTTTAAGAGGACTGTTTTAGGAGACGCGGCCGAATAACTCAGAAGCAAAATTCAAGATGGAGTATAAATAACGAAGAATTCATAAACTTTTGGCGCTATGGAACCTCTTTAAACAGACTTCCTACTATTATGGAGTGTTATCTTTGTTCTTATAATGCAGTTGGATTTGACTTTTAAAATCATAAGGTGCCTTTTCACACACCAAAAGTGGGGCTTCCTGAGAAGCTCAAAAAAGCCGTTTGAAAAAAATGTTCTTGAATCCAAAGTTTTGAATATAAAGTGCGAAATGTTTTTGATTATTTGGTTTGCCGTATCTATGAAATCATAAACTTCTTAGTCTTTCGAAAAGCTTCAACAAAACGAAACGGTCTTTTTACAGTTGAAAACTTTTTGTGAAGTGAAATTTTCAGGTCTTACTCCGCGAAAGAATCAACCGACGACTTTCAATCACTAATCCACGCATTTCTTGATTTAGAAGAAATCTCCTTCTCTTTCATTATTAGATTTATTTTCTTTAAAAATTCTTCTAACACTTTTGACTTCTTTTCTTCATGTACTTGTTCAAGGACATCTTCAGTGAGATTACTCGTTTCGCACTTGAACCTCTGTCAGTAAAAAATCTACGCTTTGACAAGTTCAAACAATCGCTAACAAGTCGTGAAGCAGAAAAAAACATTACCTCTCTTATCTCCTCGATATAAAGGTTTGTGTATTTAGTTATTGCAATCTTAAGATCTTGAAGATTACTGGTGTTTTCGTGTTATGCATAGTCGCTGATACCGATTTGAATCTGCTTTTAATTCATAAGTTTTGACAAATGTTTTGTAGCAAAAGTATTACGTAAATTTACCGTACCTTTAATTCCTACTCAAAGTATTGTAAAAAGAGCTGCCTACTATAAACCCTTCTATACCACATTATCTCTACTGTCATCACCTTACCTGTTTTACACTGCTACCTGTTTACACAAAAATGAGCTAATAATTCAGCGAGGTAAAGTGGTATATCGTCAAAGCTACCAGAAATTTTTAGAAAAAAAAGCTTAAATTTTTAAGAACCTGTTTAAAATTGCATTTCTTTGCCAAAAAGCACCAAATGTTAACCGGCAGCTGCGTAATAAAGAAATATAAAAACAATTAAAAGGGAAACGTAGATTTAAAATAAAATGCTTTTTTTCTATTTTACATTCTCTGCTTAATGTCACAAAACCTGCCAGAAATATATTTAAAACGAAAAAATATTAAATTAATTCAACGAAATGCATTAAAAAGTGAATTTGTAAAAACAGTTACTTGTTTCATTTTTTGATCGTAGTAGTTTTTGTTTTTGTTAAGCAGAATCTCAAGTCTTTGAACCTTCTCAAGATTACTGTTTATAACGAACCTTGTCTTTTGATATTCACCTTTAAGCAATATGCTAAACAGCAGCAATCTAAAAAATACCTTTTAGCGTATTTTATGATCACGAAGTCACAGCGGGAAACATAATAGGTGCCCAGCCGTCTCGCTCTACTATGGCGTTTAGCAAAAAAGTTAAAAATTGACAGAAAAGTCTCCAGAAAAGGAGAAAAACCTCAATAAAACTTGCGAGCAGTTTTTGATAAATTTTGAAATCTTCACTCTTCGTATCCCCGACAGAAGTTCCAAATTTTGTAAGAACATGGAGCTTTGCACTATTATTGAATTCTTCGAATTCTGCAACAAGACTTTTCTCATTCGTCATCTTTGTGTGTTGAAGTAAAAATCACTTAGTAGTGAATAGTTCTTCTGATAATTGACTTTCTTCCCTATTAACAACTCTTAAAAATAGCTGCAAACACTTCTATCAAGAAAAAAACTTCTTCCGTTTACCAGAAAATAGAGATCTTCCAAGTCTGCATTTTCTTTTCCCTCTTCTCGCTCTTTTAAAAAATAAAATTAAAATGACGTTTAAGAAAGAACTGCATGTTTTTTATTTCTTCTTGTTTTTCAACTGGACACCAAATTAAAAAAGTGGACTAAAAGAAAATGTAATTTTTATGCTTGTAACTTTAATCGAGTATTTGCTCCAACAAAAAAAGTTATTTTTATTTAGTAATAAGCAACTGGCTACCTCACAAATATCTCTTGCATACATTTCCTTGCAATCTCGAAAAATTTTCTTGAATGAGACCTCTCCAATAAGCATTAAAAAAACAATTATTTGTAATTTTATTACAGATTTTCAAGGAAATTGTATAACGATTGTAAAGCAGAAAAAAAAATAATTTTTAGACGCTAACCTCAAACAATGCTTTTGGTGGTGGAACGGTATTACAGTTGAATAGCTTTGTGGATTTCTAAACACTTATAGCCACGATCATTTCACATAAATAAATTTCACTGTGCGACGAGAAAAGAAACAAAAATTATAGAATTTTTCAAATTTTCAATAAAAAAACTAAACAAATCTTTGCCAGTTACTTCACAACCACCTATCATTTTCGCGGTCAAATATTTCCTAGAAAATAGTTCTTCTGCTAAAAACTTGACGCAATCCCAAAA